GAAGGACCTCCTGGTAGTACTCCTTTGCGATGGTTTGGCCTTGTGGTGCGTACTCACGACACACCACCCCAGGAGAGTCGAAAAAACTGTCAACATGACCTTTGATATTGCTGCGGACCTGCCGCACTTTTTTTGGCCTCGAGGATCGTCCCCGAAAGCCTGCTGAATCTTGCAAATGGTTTACGCTTGGTATCGCCAAGGTTTTTGGCAAAATTTGATGTAATATCGCTGCTCACGTTGTTCAGTCATTTTCCAGCTTAGTGGAATCCAACGAGAGCGCACTACATGACCTCACTCATAGGCCGATTGCCAACGACTNTTAGTTCCTCTAGTGGTTGGTCCGTGATAACTAACTGCATCTATAGAATTGGGATTTTGGTGACTGTAAGCGTATATCAGTCTCATAGTTTCTTCCTAAACACAGGGAAAAATATATTTAATGATAAGTAAGTAAAGGTAATTATAATGCCTGTGGCATTTGTAGATAACTAACCGTAATGACTATATCCTGGTCATCACACGTGTCCAGCAATCTTTTAAATCGTAACTTTGTATGAGTATCGTTTTTCTCGTGCCATAACAATTCCCAATCCTGTTGTTCGTCGATTTTCGGCTGAAACTTTCCTTCGGCGTGTCTATCCTAAAACTCAATATAATTTTTCATTGAATAAAATTTCTACTAATTGAAATATTTTCTATTTCGATAATTATGCTAATATTAGCATAATTATCGAAGTAGAAAACAAAATATTTCGTATAAGACTATAACAAATCTAACAAACAAGAGACGATATGTGTATCAGTATGAAATATTTATCGAATTATATTAATAGTCTCGTAAACAAAATTTATTTTTTATATATTGACAGACCTTCATTAAACACAGCCATTCATTACAGTTAACAAGTACTGTTTAATGCAATAAAATAATTATTTTGCAATCACGGGGCTTGATGGAGTAGTGGTTACGCTCTAACAGTGCTAAATTGGTACAGCTGGATGTTGTGGGTTCGACCCTCGTAAAAAGAAATTGTGTGATATTTTACAATCATTACCGTGTAGCAATTCGTTAATTTTAAAATTGTTAAATTAATAAATCGCTTTGTATTAGAAAGAAACAGGAGTTGGAACGGCGGTTTGCATTGCGATCAACCAGTTTTTATATTTAATTACACAACAACTTGCTCCTTTAATCTGTAGCCAACCTTGATATTAAGTAAGTAATTATTAGAATTCACCTACTTTCTCGTTTCACGCCTTTTCTGTGTTAGTTTTTCCAAGAGAAACGTCTAAAGAAAACATCCATTGTGTGAAGAAATACTCGAAATTTGGGAAAACGAAAACTATCATCTAGTAGAATCCGGTCAAGTTATGCTTAATTTATATTACTTTTACTTAAGATTTATTTCCGATGGTTAAAGATAAAATGTACATGCAGTGAACATTTGTAGAACGCTGTTTTTAAATACATTAATTTAATAATTGCATCATCAAAGCCTAGCCAGGGGCTTTTTTCTGTGAACTTCTCTGTTCTTTCTTGGCTGGTAGCCATAGAAAGAAGACAACGTCAGTCAGGGCCGTCGAGAAGAGAATGCTAAGAAGACAAAACAATATTTACCTAGTTGACTAGAATGCTAAGAAGAGAATGATTTTCACCCGGCCCATACATAACATAGGGGCGCATATTAGTTCCTATTCGTATAAATGAATGTTACTTTTACTGACAAAAAATAAAATTTCTTAACACTGCTTTTATTTCCCGGCTGTTATGTCTACATAACAGAGGAAGGTATTCCAATAATGTCAAATTTTACCTTCCGGGTTTTTTTTTCAAAACTTAACGTGTTGAGACCTCTTCAAAAAAGTCAAAAAAATTGGATAAAATCCGTGTGTGTGGATGGGGGAACTTAATGAAAATTTTATTCCTTATTAACACTCACAATTTCTGAAAAAAGTCATCTCCAACTCTCAAAATTAAGCCTTTTGCCTTTGTTTAATTATTAATAATATGTTATATTTTTTAAAATAAAATTTAATAAAAGAAGCTTCAACTTCAACGCAATTTTATTTTAAATAATTAATCAAAATAAATTTTAAAAAACTAGATAAAAGCATGCAAGTACTAGATTTAGATCTTATCTAAGAAAATTTTTCTACAAAGGAATGTGAAGTGTAACAATATAACTTTTCGCCATTGGCGTCCGACAAAACAGCATGATGCAAACTTTCCTGGTGAAGCCGGAAAAGTCACGCAACTCATTGCTGGATTTTTTTTATTAATAATGAAACATACTCTCCAATCCTGTGCTCCATATAAGAGTCCGGATCAAGTTGAATAGACTTCTATAAAAATATGTTGCAAGCTTCTTGTTTTGTACATCTATCGTATTTTGAGTTGGGCAATATATTTCATTGAGGTATCGCAACGAAAATATCGGGCCGACTAAAGGATAAGTTATCTCCAAAGTGAGAAATAATTCTGATATGGAAACATTGTTCTTAAGGTGTTCATTGATCTCCGAGCGGTATGCAACATGACTCCATTTTGTTGAAAATAAACCTTTGTAGGTCAATAATGTTTAGGACGCATAATACTAGAAACGTACTTAGTTATAATCTGTTGTGACCAGTGAATTGCCATTTACTTCCTCAAAAAACAAAAACAAAAAAAAACCGACTAATTATTCTAAAGGTATTCCGCTTCTATAGTGACTCTACGGCTGTGTAGGTCAACTAGGTAAATATTGTTTTGTCTAGACAGAATAAGAGTATACAACAAAAGCAAATAATTAACATATATAAAGCAGGATAGGCAATACATATGGCCATAATATTTTTGAAACCGTGCCAGTAATTGAAGACAAATATAGGGGAGACCGGGGCAACTTCGGCATGCGGGGCAAGTTTGTCAAGCGCTTTTTTTTAAAAACAAATTAAAAGAAGACTTTGGTTATAGGTTAGGCAGTTGAGTTTTATTGGTGGCTTGTTGAGTGTAGTGTCTTTATTGTTCTCCAACAAGCGTAGTTGAATTATCAAGCAAATTTTCATTTTCGTTCAATTCCATATAATATTTTTTTTCCATTTATATTGAATTGGCAGGTTTTGTTATAATTCCATGATAACGAAAGTTACTTTTCCTGTTAGAAGGATGTAACTTCAACTTATTCACGTGGCCAGATCGTGGCTTGGCATTCTGTTCTCAGGGTTGTACTTAATGTTTCGAAATCATGACTAGCGGGGTAAGATCGGCAACATAAAGCCACATTAGAAGCAAAGGATAAAAATCAAACAGATGATAAATGAAAACATGTTTGCATTTGTTATTCATGTATATATGTCTTTGAACTTGCATTTCGTTGTAATAATATTAAATGGGTGTTGGATTTGTATTTCTTTGTTTTAATAGTGAATTCCAACTTATACATTGTTAATAACATAATTTTATATACGTGCCTATCTTGCCCCATTACTGTTGCCCCTATACCAGGGGCAACTTTAATAAAAATAATTAAAATAATTACAACTTTACAAAAAGAGAGAAGTTGCCGATCTTGCCCCTATACCCGGGGCAACTTCGTCAATTTCTCTCTTCTTGTAAAGTTGTAATTATTTTAATTATTTTTATTTCCAAACTGATTTTAACCAGTTCTATAGTAAGGTAACATTCCAATAGACAATATGCAAAGCTTTTTTTTCAGTTTACAGCAGTATTTATTACACAAAATTTAAGTAAAGCTTAACATGCCGATCTTGCCCCGGTCTCCCCTATGCAACGCCTGGACGGTAGTATATATGCAATTTTTCATTTATTTTCTTGACCATAACATTACGCAGATGAATTTTAAATTTTGTCAAGTAGTACTGAAGAACACGCCATTATTCAACCTCATGCCGAGTATCACGTTTAAAGACAGTTCTGAATTCTTATTAGTGTCTGGATTGACCTGGAAAAAGTGGTTAGCCTTCTACAGGCACACTATTGAATTACAGTATATCATATGAAACTGATGAGGATAGGAAATGAAGTTATATATGTTACAGTCAAAACCCGTTTCTAGTTAGAACGCGTTTTAACTAGTTAAAACTAGTTTATACTGAATGTCTTTGTTAAAACTCGTTTTGTCTAGTTGAAACTAGTTTTAACTCAAATTCATTTTTGACTAGCAGTAAATTCTTGTTTTAACTAGACAAAACGGGTTTTAAAAAAACATCCAGTATAAACTAGTTTCAACTAGTTAAAACGCGTCCTAACTAAAAACTGGTTTTGAATGCAACATATAGAGTGATTCGGGGTAAGATGGTAAGCGGGGGAATATACCTAATTTTTAATATTTTCAAACGGTGACGTCACATATTGTCATGTATTTGTATGATGAATCGTTTGGCCAATATTGAGTGCGGAAAGCTGTACTTGGCTACCGTTACTTCATTTTCTATATCCGAGAAGAATAAAAGCTAGATAAAAACGAAGTTTTTGTTGTGAAATGTTTCTAGAATAATATTAAACTAAAAGTTAAAATGGAATTTATTAAAAATTGCTAAAAACAATTAATGTGTGATGTAGTTAAGGACTTAAGGTTCTAAAGTTTCCATTGTCAGCTACCGCCGATCCCGATCGGACATGCTGGAGCACGTCCAATCGGGCTCCAGCATGTCCAATGACTCTAGGCATCTTACCCCAACAAATGGAAAAATATGCCACATTTTTCTTGGGGTAACGTGCCTATTTTTTGTTAATTGATTTCCAATATGCCTATTTTAAATAAACTTTTGTTTTCTGGTTTTATTGCAGGATATGCATAGAAATTATATAAGGACTTCTCAAAAAAGTTTTTGGACTGAAAAAAGCTTTCAGCTAGCTATAGAACACGTTAGAACAGGCGGAAACTTAACAATACTTATACTGTGCTGTTATACTTACTATGAAGTACTTTGTACTACATATGACATAAATTAAATTTAGATAAGAAATTAAAAAATTTATTATAAGCAATTATATTTGTTATCTTACCCTAATGGCATTTGGCATCTCACCCAGATACTTGGGGTGAGATGCTTAAAATGCCAGACAGTGAAAAAGTCGTCATTGCAAACACAGTATAAAATTTTTTAAAATAAACTCCAAACTTTTATTTGAAAGACATACTCCAGAATATGATATTTTCATTAGAGGGCTCCTAAACTCAAATTAGCGCTGTAATTCTCTTCATAAGCAAAATGTTAGGCATCTTCCGCCGAATCACTATACATAACNTGAAGAACACGCCATTATTAAACCCCATGCCGAGTATCACGTTTAAAGACAGTTCTAAATTCTTATTAGTGTCTGGATTGACCTGAAAAAAGTGGTTAGCCTTCTACAGGAACACTATTGAATTACAGTATATCATATGAAACTGATGAGGATAGGAAATGAAGTTATATATATAAGGAAAACGAATAAATTACTGTTTTATTCCGCATTGTAAGTTCATATAGTTAGCGTAGTGCACATTGCATTTAGGTTACTACTAGCTTCATCTTTGAAAGATCACAAGTACGCTACTGAAAACCTTTCTTAATTCTTGTTACATCCATGGATACTAGGCCTAAATACTTTTAAAAATTATCAACGAATAGCTAAATATTATGCTAACTTTAGTATTGAAAATGTTCAAAAAATTACTGTTTAATTCACAGTAGTGAATACTATTTTAAATATACACAACAGCATATAGAGTATGTTTATGCTATCTCGTGTGTGCAAAATCAGCAATACGTAAACTAAATATGTTCTTGTAATAAAATCGTTTATAAATCCCATATTTGTACTATATGTCTTTATATGAAATTATGATATTATTCTATAGTTACGCTAATTTTCTTATGTTTCTGTTTAATTAAGATAAAGAAATATATATCCGATCTCATTGAGGTGCAAAAAAGTTTACAGAGTTCGCACCTTCATCTTATTGAATCAAGGCACACGAACAAAAATGTCGTCACCTGGAGAATCTTAGACATATTTCCTCCCAACCTGCCTTCTCCGACAGCCTACAAGACTCGAGTGCTCACACCAATAACTTATAATTAAGGATAAGACATCTAGGCACTAAAAATCGTAATAATTTGAGTTATTACTTATATAACTCATAACTTACATGATTTTTATAACTATTATATAACTTTTAGTGTCTAGATGTCCTTACTCTACTTATAATGAAGATTTTTTATACTGTTCGCTCCTCTTGCCCAAGTGTGCTTACGGATTGTCTGATAAACAGATCTTAAATACCGCATAAATTTATTCAGTAATATTTACGAATCTCTTACTAATGTATTTATTTTTTAATTCTTTAGTGAAAATTGCAAGCAATAAAATATTAGCGTTACGAATTGGTGTCAGAGTCACGTTGGTTATCGTGACATAACATATTGATAACTTTAATTAACCAAATTACTTTAACACACTTCTTAAAATTTAGAAAAGTTCTAGATACTTTATATAAAGAATGTATTTTCATTTACATACGTGAAACATCGCTTGGTTATCGTTAATCCATCCAATGACGATATCACTGCCTTTCATTCCTCCGTTTGAGGAGATTCCAAATCCGACCCATCCATTAGTCGCCACTTCCACTTGGAAAGTGATGGAATCGTCGTACATGGACCACCAAAGCTCATAATTAGAGTCGAATTTTAAATATCGTTTCCAGTTTTCCGCAGAAATCGGAGACGAAAATAAAAGGAACGAAGCGAAAATTCCGATGGCAATCATGTTCGCAATACTGAAACGTTATAAGGAAAACCAGTTTTTATATTTGATTTATATACATTCATTGACGTCAATAATTTGGTCATTTCTCTGTTACGTTTATTGTTTGCGTATCTCTTCCTGATATATTGAGTAGTACATTATAAGTTTAATATGATTTTTAGGAAAATTTTATCTTCACATATAAAAGTTTTCTATAGTGAATTCAAAATGTCTCTCTTTTTTTAAAATGTAAATTCGTTAGGTAAAAGTAAACCTCTGAAGTCTTTCGTATTCATATAAATTACTAACCCGTAATCAATTCAAAAACATTGGTAACTCAAGGAATGAAGGCAAGGAGATCGATTATTATTATTTTATTTTTCAATTAAAATAATCGATATGTTTAAAATGAGACAAGGATAATAATTGTAATACTTAACGAGCAATTATTGGGTTGCAATTTTGAAAAAATTGTACACCTATAAATTCTCACTGTCATCCGTCCGTCCGATGTCTGTCTATGTTTAATCTCGAAAAGTGGATAAACTTAGATACATAAAATCCGAGACCATATACGGAAAACGTAGATACAGGAGGTCCCGATTAATTAGAAACAAACTTCCAATGCAAACTGAACATCACGTTACTTCAATTCAAAGTTTTTCTCTGAAAGGTGTTAGATGACCGGCATGACTCCATTGCTAATGGAAAAGTCTGACGTACAGGGGCAAGACATTGCACTACTAATTTTAGGTGGAGAGTATATATTTTAAATGAAATAAATTAAAAATATGATTAAAAATTGCAGCCCAATAAAAAGTCGTGGGTAATAGTTGAAAACGAACGAAACGATTTTCCGAAATAATAGTAACATAGAGGTCCTCTGGTGACAAACACGCAAAACTTGCATAATGAGTGGAATAAATTATAGTCAACTTGCAACGAATAAACTGATTTAAAACCATTTAGCAATTACGTCTAGATAGATAGACGTAACTGAACCAAACTCCGTATTAATACTGTCCTGAGCATGAGAACACGATCCTTGTAAAAAATTGTTTCAAATTACATTACCAGGGGTCAAAATGACGCTGTGAGATGAGTAAAACCAGAGTAAAAAATAAATAGCGTTTGACCGTTTATTGTTTAAATGCTCGAAAGCTCTCCACGTTAATGTTGTTTATAGTTTTAAGAGTATTATTTTGTAAACATGGTATGTTGTGCTGATATAGAATACTCGAGTAAACTTGGAAGAGATGATATAATGTTCGTTTATTTCTCTGTGGGTAAAGCGATACAGAAAGAGGAATTGGGATACCTAAACTTAGATGAGAAATACAGTATGTTTATATTTTCTTTGTATGAAATACAAATAGTACAAGTACTGTACATTAGGCCTATCTAAATTTATTGATCAATTGATGTTTCATAGGTCAATTTTTAGTTCGGACCAGTCAGTTTTTGGACTTATTATAAAAAAAATAGAACTCGAATGACTTATAAGCGTTTAATTCATAAAATCAACATCAAGATTTTCGAAAAAATATTAGAATTATTCGCCAGCTGATTACAAAACAATTCTGTATAAGAAATCGTTGTAATTGGGAGATAAGAAAGTCATGTATAGAACATGGCTATACTATGTTAATCAAGTCTTCTATAATGCTAGATATATGTATACAGTTAAAACCTTTCTGAAGAAAACCCTGAATAAACCAACCTAAACGAAAAAATTCTTCAAGGAACGATTTTTTTATGATAAAAGAAACCTGTTCAAAGCGGAAACTTGCAAATATTCGGATCCGTAGATTACGGTTTACACTGGTTTTACTGTACTGTATATCTGTTTTTAAAAGAAGAATCGTGATTCCAAGAATTATCTGTGTAATTTGATTAAATAATAATAATGCTGGATCTTAGATCGATGATTGGTGTGTAAAGATAAATAGCTAACAAGTAAAATATATAAGAACCTTTGCAGTTGTATTTCTTGTCTAATGTTTAAAAATAAAATATTAATAATGCAACCAAAATTTAAGATTAAGTATAGAATATTAATAGGAGTCATCGTTATATTGTATACAGTAAACGTACTTTTTTTGTCGTAGTTGGTGATTTATTAAATGACGTTTGGAATTGGTGTTGTAGATTGAGAAAAATCGTTTGATATATCTCACTTCTGTTGTATGTATAAATTTATATATAAATATAGAGGAGAAGGTGGTATTACGGAACCCCAACTACATTTTAGTGAATTGTAAACAAGGTATCATAACTACACCTACATTTTTTGTGCGAAAAGTACTGGTAACTAGTAATTTAAATGTTCCTAATTGGATTTTCCGCTAGTGTAACTATAAGTATGGTTTTTGAAGGCTTTTGTACAAAAAGTCCGAAAGTAGGCTTAGAGAAAATCGGGTGGTAACACGGAACCTTACTGTATATTTTCAAGAAAAATGCTTTAATGTAGCCAAAAACAAATAGGAAAGTACAAAAAATGTTAAATAATTACCAAATTATTTACTCCAATGTATTTTATCGTAAAAATGATTTTATAATAGAAAAATATGACCTCCATCAACAATACATATTCCAGCAGCTCTTTTTCGATATTTTCAGATTTTCTACCTAGTGTCTTTTTCCCAAATTGCTCCGGACGAATGTCTGATTGCAAAGAGAGAGTTCGAAGGAGTTGAGTTCCATATTACTGTAAAAGCACCAAAGGGGTCCGTATTTCACGCATCGCCATCTTGAATTAACTTATGTCTGTCGAGACCAAAATTTAAAAAACGTGAACATCACACAGATTAATATGTACCCCCAAGTCTCTGGAACAGAATACATGCACCAGTGAACCTACAACTACACGATTTATATTTTAAAATAATTAAATTCACTTAGCATTCAAAACTTGCGAATTTTGAAAAAAACGAATTTGCTGATTAAATACGGACCACCGTTTAACTGAAGTAAAACGGGTTTTCCCCTTGCTATGGATGTCTGCCTAGTTCAGTTCGGCCACATTCTGCTACAGTTCGCCTTTATTATCAGTTCGAAATGGGGTGGTTCCATAATACCCGCAGTGTTCCATAATACCACCTTCTCCTCTATATATTTAAAAGTGATGAAAGAAAATTACTTTTTATTTATATCCAATTAAGATTTATTATTTTTTTATGAAATTAATGAACATTGGATATAATTTGTTAAAATTGTTCTTTTAACCCTAAATTTTTTGGGCTTTATTGACATACTAAAGCAAGTGTATTGGCCAATGGCGGAAGTACACAATTTTTCTAATGGTCGCGTATACATAATGTTTTTTACTCATGTCTTGGTTGGGCTGTACTGTAATTTGTAAAAATTGTAGATCTATAAATTTTCACTGTCTGTCTTTCCTTAATCTACAGAATGGAGTTAGGTAGATAAAAAATGAGATCAGATACAAACCCTTAGTGACAGGAGGCCCTGATTAACTGTATACGAACTTTCGATATAAACTGAAAGTCGTTATTTCAATTCAAACCTTCACCTCTGAAAACAGTTAGATAGTTGACTGGCACGACTGCGTTGCTAATGAAAATGCATAATGTACAGTACAGGGGAAAAGGCACTACAGTACTGATTTGAGGTGGAGAGCATAATGAAATAAATCGAAAATTGCATCCCATTGTGACCCTGTCACAATAAATAATTGCTCGTTTCTATTTAATATTTCGTTTAAAAATTTTAGTGCATTAAAATACATAATTTTCTAAACAGAAGTGTTATTTTTTTTCTAATTTAAATATTATAGTTATCATAAATATAATATTTTATAATAAATGTGTTTTTATATAATTAGGTTTATAAATTTTGCTAAGTTTGTTTGCTTTTGTGATAGTTTAATGTGTCTGCTAAATGATTATTCGTTAATTGCCAGATAAATATACAACATTTAAAATCGTACAATTAACTCTTTATAAACGTATTTGCAAAATATATAAAAGGTTTTTTCTACATTCTTAAAATTTTCATTGGTAGAAAGAATAGTCGAATCTAGCAACACACGACTCTTACTAATCCGGCCATTCCTTGCACAGAGGAGTGTCAAATTAGCGAACGTGCCGGATTACTGACTGTCTATATATTTAAAGGTAATGAATAAAGTTCCCGTCGCCCTTCAGTACTGATTCTTTTAGGAGGAGGCAGATAATAATACGGTGAGCCGAATGCAATATTGTACAGTGCATAAAAATGAAAGCACCCACCAGTGGCCGAATGGATAAAACCACTAAATACTGGCCATGAGTTCGCGCCTAGTCAATGGGCTGGCCTAGCGGGAGTTCGAAAGTTTCCTTCGTGTTTTTAACACCTAAATAAGGGTCAGTTTCCTATAAATGTCGTTCCGGGAAGCATCGCCTACGTAACCAATTAAGCCAAACATAAAAATGAAGCGCGAGTAAACAGGATGTGTCGCATGACTAACAATTTAATAGAATTTGTTAGAAGAGTAGGAAAGAGGTAGGACTAGTAATCGACGCAGAATGTTTCCTTGATATTTGTCATGTGGTACTTCTACATCTTTTATAATAATAATAATATTACCTCGAGCGATTTATGTAATGAATTTTAATGTATAAGATTTTGTTGAAAATTGTTTAAAACGATATATGTATTTCTACATTTTACACGTACAGTACATGATGTCCCGAAAGTCGCTATACATAGGAAAATTAATTTAATATTTTTTACAGAAATGTAGCATTATTTACAAAATTACAGTACATCTACAAGTTTGGCTATTTCTTTCTAAACATATACGGATTCGTCTCTCCTAGTCAAGATGAACTTGTGTTAACATATCAGATGTTAAGCACCTAATTAAACTTCGATTGAGTTCTTCTTGGTAATCCACGTTTTGAATTTTTTCCTGATGCATCAAAGTCTTTAATTAGGGTCCTCATAGGTAAAGTAAAAAGGGCCTGAAAACCTCGGAGGTCATCCTGGGATTAAGATGAACCTGGAAACTGATGATCCTAAGTATGGTGACTTTACGACACCCGGAATTTTCAACACTGCTATTTTTAATATTGTTTTTATAAATATATTTTAAAGTCAATAAAATTACAGAAGTGTATTTTTATTTTTATACATTTTCTTTAAAATAGAAAAAGACAAAGATAATTTTACGAGTTTTATATTTTGCGTTCGCGTAATTTTAGATTTATTGAGAAGAAGAATGTATTTTTAATTTCTTTAGACATGATTTATTAATTATTGTATTTTTCTTTGTTCACTAACTTTTTATTTTTTGTTATTTCGTTACACTCGATTCAATACGACTGAATTTCGTATTGAATCGAGTGTAGAGCTGAAGTACAGTACTTCTAACAACACGAATTACATATTTAGTAACGAAAACTACAAACAAGTTTCAGTTTGAGAGTTTGAAATTCTCAGAATTTGGTGATAACAATGTCGTTTTTAATGGAAAAATGTACACTCGCAAAGATTCATTTGGAGAAAAGCGCCTTTAAAACATTTATTTATGAAACATTACTTAGAAGGATATTATATTAATAATTTCATTTAGTTTCGCTTCATGTAAAATCTAATCTAATGTATTAATATTTAAAAATCTATTCTTTCATGTTATATCAAAAAGTTATTTTATATAAAATTTAATTATTTCCTTTCTTTAACATTCAATCGAAGTTCAGTTCGTGTTTACAAATATCAGGTTCTTCATATGACTTTACTCCGAAGGGGTATCTTGCCAGAGTAAATGTCTGTTAAGATTGAAAAATATCAATGTAGATAAATTTCTGGCATTCCGAATTGTAAAATTAAATATTTTAAACAATTAATCTTTTAAAGTATAATTCTTACATGAATTGGTTTTCCTTGTTTATTCATACATATGTGGAGATGCGGACTATTCTTCATGGATCTTTGAACTGCATTTACTGAATATTCATCCCAAGGATAAGTGTTTAAAAATTCAAAGTAGGTCTCGTTCTTTCCTGTAATTGGCGAAATTACAAATCGATCGTCTCTGTAAATGTAAATTCATATCAACAATTAAAGAAATGTTTCGTGTTTTATCAAATTATGTGAATTAATGATTTTCAGCAAAAAACGCCAAGGATCGTGTAATGAATAAATATTGAATACAGTAAGACCCCGCTTAACGCTGATTCGATATAACGCGGTCTGCTCGAAGCTTAAAAAAAAAGCTTAATGGTAATAACACGCTCGTTGCCAAGAAATTAGCGCATCAAGGTGTTGTCGGAATCGAACGAAATTGTACAGTACGTGTGTAGGTGTAACGGAGATATAAGTAAATGATTACAGAATGAAAGCAAAATAATCAGTTATTGCAGGAAAAACTACAAATGAAAGGAGATTCTAGTACCCGGTTGGTTACCTCTAGCGTAAATACACGATGTGATACGGGCGGGCATGGAGACATACAGGTGCCGTATTGTGTCCTTCAGCATCTCAGTCCATGATACAGGCGGTCCTCTAGTTTGGCCAAACTCCTAGGCTGTCCAACTTGGCGTCCCAGTTGATTCCACACATGTTCGATCAATGACAAATCAGAGAAAGTGTGGCAATGTGGCTGAGGCAGTCTTGTAACATCCTTGATGTGCGTGACCAAGCATTTTCCTGTTGGAAAATGGCTCTTGGAAGCCTTGTCATGAAATGCAATACCTGTGTCTGTAGGATGTCACTAACATACCGCTGGGCTGTCACGGTCCCTTGGATCACTACTAGAGTTGTATCTTTAGTGATGTGATTACACTACAGACCATACACCGGCTATGGAAGCGCTGTGCCGCTCCAAAGCATAGTTAGGATTAAGGTGTTCACCACTGGGCCTCTAGACACGAACACGGCCGTTGTCACTGGCCAAACTGAATCTGGATTCGTCGCTGCAGACGGTCTGGTTCCATTCCTTTGCGGTGCAACCCCGTCGGGAGCGATACCACTCCATTTGAATATTTCGGACATTAGATTCACTACAATAAACTTGTTTTCCCCCCTGTAATCAGATATTATTTAAACTGGATAAAAATGAACTGCTGACCAAATACGATAATTGTCAAGCAGTCGTACTTCTAATAGGTGTAAAATTTAATACTAAATTACTAGGATACTAAATTTTTGTGAACTTTCATTATTATATGTATATTTTTATATAAAATAAGATCTTAAACGTCATGTTTCGTCTATAAATAAAAGTACACTGGCTCGTCGGTATATCCCAAAAATTGTATACGCGCCACTAATTCAAAGTTTGAAAACCACCGATCTAATGAATTAATAAATACTTACTGTGACATTTCTATAACACCAAGTGATATAAGAACATTAAATGGAGAAGGGCAACTGAAAGAAGAAACCAAAGAGGAACTCGGATAGTACATAATAAACGACAGACATATTTCGTCATCTACAGTAAATCCACCCTGAAATAATAAGTTTGATATAATAATTTGTTTTCAGTATAACGTTTATATCTATTTATTAATTTTCCACTTACAAATGTAGGTTTAGTTCTCCCAATAGAGTTATAGGTGCATTCTAAGATCAAGTGATCGTCCTATCAAATAATACATACTCTCAGTTACTTCAGTAGCTAAACATTTAATCTTAAACTTTAAAAAAGAAATCCTTACAGGTAGAATAGTGACTTCATTTTCCAGCAGTCTGTAGTCCTGTCGGAATATAGTCAAGTAAAATAATATTTTTAATTAATAAAATATATTATACTAGCAGGCGCGTAACGCAAAATCACGATGTTAAAATACCTGATAACTATTATCGTAATTATCGTCTTTACTAATCGGAGGAAGTTCATTGCCACGAAAATGTCTGAGTTTTAATTTTTTACCTAAATGTATTATTTATATCTGAAATTAATTTGATTATTTTATATAAATTACTTAATTAAATTACTTGCCTAAGAGATGCGAATGAAATAAAACAGCGAAGACCTTAACACCTTCGGGAGGAAGTCCCTGAAATATTATATATTTCAAATATATTTTAAACAAAATTTAAAACCAATAAAATCAACTTATTATAAATTTTTACCTGCTTTAAACAAGAAGGATGAGCATGCCCCGCTATAACAAATTCATATTGTTTGGGTGGAATAAATGCGCACGGATAAGCAAAACTACCAATAACTAGAGACGAACTATCGTACTGGCGAAGATTTGGAGTATATAAAAGTCTTAATCCTGAATTATCGACTATTCCTGAAAAAATATATATATTTAAATTACAGAATAATTACTGTAAATTAAATGGTTACTTGTGGAAAGTCGTAAATTACCTTGCTCTAAATTGGGATTATCGTAATGAATTTTTAACATATACCACTCATCGTCTGAGATTCCTAAAGGTAAACCTGTCTTTTCTGGAAATCTAAAAGTCTAAATTGTAATTAAAACATTAGAAAGTATATTTTGTTTTATTTAAATAGATAAAACACAAAAATTATTACTTCGCTTCCGGTAGTCCATATAAATTTCATAGTAAAACAGAAAGGAAATTTAGGCTCCATTTCTTCTGTGAAGCATTCGTGATATTTTTTCTCTGTGAATTGTGATATTTTTTCTTCGTTAATACCCGGACAAGAATATAAAACTAAATTATAAACAATATTTTCGTTTCCAGGTTGAATTATAGGATCAATCTATAATTCATAAAGTATATATTAATTTAATAAAGAAACCTTGTCTTATTAAAATTATGCAAAATGCTTATACCTCTATGATATGATGCTTCTTATCAAGATCAGGACGTTTGAATAAGATACAATAATATCCAGAAATTTTATTAGAAGGTACCGGGATCTACGAAAGGATTTTATTTAAATAAAATATAAAGTTTTTAATTAGGGGAGATCGGGGCAACTTCGGCAAGCGGGACAAGTTTGTCAAGCGCTTTTTTTAAAAAACAAATTAAAAGGAGACTTTGGTTATAGGTTAGGCAGTTGAGTTTTATTGGTGGCTTGTTGAGTGTAGTGTTTTTATTGTTCTCCAACAAGCGTAGTTGAATTATCAAGCAAATTTTCATTTTCGTTCAATTCCATATAATATTTTTTTTCCATTTATATTGAATTGGCAGGTTTTGTTATAATTCCATGATAACGAAAGTTACTTTTCCTGTTAGAAGGATGTAACTTCAACTTATTCACGTGGCCAGATCGTGGCTTGGCATTCTGTTCTCAGGGTTGTACTTAATGTTTCGAAATCATGACTAGCGGGGTAAGATCGGCAACATAAAGCCACATTAGAAGCAAAGGATAAAAATCAAACAGATGATAAATGAAAACATGTTTGCATTTGTTATTCATGTATATATGTCTTTGAACTTGCATTTCGTTGTAATAATATTAAATGGGTGTTGGATTTGTATTTCTTTGTTTTAATAGTGAATTCCAACTTATACATTGTTAATAACATAATTTTATATACGTGCCTATCTTGCCCCATTACTGTTGCCCCTATACCAGGGGCAACTTTAATAAAAATAATTAAAATAATTACAACTTTACAAAAAGAGAGAAGTTGCCGATCTTGCCCCTATACCCGGGGCAACTTCGTCAATTTCTCTCTTCTTGTAAAGTTGTAATTATTTTAATTATTTTTATTTCCAAACTGATTTTAACCAGTTCTATAGTAAGGTAACATTCCAATAGACAATATGCAAAGCTTTCTTTTCAGTTTACAGCAGTATTTATTACACAAAATTTAAGTAAAGCTTAACATGCCGATCTTGCCCCGATCTCCCCTAAATTAAACGCCAACATTAACTTACATTATGACTTTTTAACTCCCAATAATAAATATTCTCTTCGTTTTCGAAACTTTCTAGCATCCTCGGATTTAAGAGAAAAGTTTTTTTAGATCCTCTTCTCCGTGGCCCATGATATTTCACTGAATTTTCGGAATTAGGTACTTCATTACTGTACGCGTATATCAAGTTTATTGTATTGTTCTAAATGAGATTTTTAAATAAATTAAAACTTTACATAAATTTTTAATTTAAATTAATATATTAGAGACATACTAACCGTTATACGTATGTCTTGATAATCGCAAGTGTTTAGAAGTCTCTTGAAACGTATAATTGTATGAGTGTCATTTTCACAGCACCATAGATATTCCCAGTCTTGTTGTTTGTCTATTTCTGGCTGAAATCTTCCTTTCGCGTGTCTATCCTGTAATATAAAAAGAAACTTTACACTGTATCATGTTCTCAGTCTGTATTTAGGATTCATTTCGCAGTCGGTCAGTATTCACTACTCCAAGATTACATATTTCATTTATAAATTTGTACTTTATTGCACACTCCATACTACAAGTTGCCGGCCAAAAGGAAGATCACGATTTTACCAAGGAACGAAAAAAGGCTATCGACCTTGAGTTGATAATGATTATTACAAACGACTAGGAAACTGGTACTTAAAACGATTGCACGTGACATGAACCGGGGCATTCGACCGTTTCGACGATCTTTAAAGATAAACATAGTGTGAAAGAGGCAGTGAAAGCATCGACAGGATTTAAAGCTATAAAAACTAGGCAGCAAAGACCTCATTTACGAAATGGAGAAATTACTGGCGTTCTGGTTTGAAAATCAGAATGCCGATGGCCTTTTAATAGCCAAGGCACAGAGTAAATTTGAAATTTGAAAGAGCGCGAAGAATAGACGGAAACATTTATGGCAAGTTATGGATAATTTTAACAGTTTCGTTGGAGATTCAACCTGCATGATCGAAGTATTAGCGGTGAGTTGGCAAGCGCAAACTTAGAACAGATGAAAAATTTGTTTGACCAATTCGATGAAATTATCGAGAAAGATGGTTACAGCCCGATCTTCAATGTGAATAAAACTGGACTTTTTTGAAAAAGTATTCGAAAGCTCCTAAATACACAAAGAAACTAAAGCGATGTCCGACTTGCAAATGCTTACTTTTTTATATGAATGAACTTAAATTCTTTGGTAAATCATTTTTATATTTTTTGCTGATTATATTTTCGTGTTTTATAATATTTAAGAGATGCAAATTAAAACAAAATTATGGAGTTAGAGTTTCCTTTAGGCCTTTTCTTTACTCATAATAAATGAAAATGATTAACTCCTCGTTTATTCATCAATTCGCTTAATACCTAGACGTAGGAACGACCCTCAGTTGTTAAGTGAGTAGTGTCTGTGTAGTAAATAAAGCAATATTTAAAAGCTGTAAATTATTAAATATTGAATGCTTTATCTAGCAAAAGAATTCCAAGTTGATTTTCCATATATACTTACGTGAAATTGCGCACTTCCGTTCTTAACCCAGCCTATGACAACATCGCTACCTGTCATTTCTCCAGTTAGAGATATTCCGAAACCAATCCAGCCTTTAGTGGCCACTTCCAGCTGGAATATTATTTCGTCTCTTTCGACGTTCCACCAAACTTCATAATTCTGATCCAATTTCAAATAACGACTCCATTTTTCACTAAATATTAAAGGAAGATATAAGAACAATATAAATATACGTAACTTCATGCTTGAGAGAATAAATCCCAATCTGTAGCAACTTGTAAATTTCTGTTGGATAGTTATCCACAACTGGTTCTTTTCTCTCAAAAGATTAACATTTAAAGTACATTCAACTTCTTACAACTTTTATTGCTTCTCTCTCTCTCTCTCTCTCTCTCACACACACACACACTAAATAATACTGTATATCAATTTTTTTTATTCACTTATCCAATATTTATGAAAGTGAATAATGAATTGTCTCCGAAATATCTTTTGCTAATAGCTTCTAACGAATAATAACTCATAAAATTCGTGAGTTTTTATATAAAAATGATGTGTTTTTTTAACTTTATTGTACAACGAATAAGCGTTTCATAATATATTGTTTACCCGGCTGTTATATATAACAGAGGAAAAGAATGGCGATCGGTTGAAAAGATAGACCTCCCCCCATATTTTTACATTTTTGGACTCGGGGGACCTTGAAACGTCGAGAAATGCAAAAAAAATCGGGAGTTTTTTCTATGTATGGATGTTCATGTTTGTATATGGGGGCACGATTTTGTTCAGTCAATTTGAAGCTTAATAACTCTTGTCTTGTCGAAAATATCTGAAATTTTGCAGGGAGGTTTGTTTATTAGGAGATTGATGCTATTAAACTTTGGTGTTTAAAGGTCAAGGGATCACATGTCATATCTCGAGTGGAGTTGGATTTAATAAAGATTTCATACGTTATTACTTATTAGCATTTACAGTTTTTTTAAATGAAATTCGTCCTTTCCCTCAAAATTAAGTTGTCATTTTATATTAATTAATGATTTAGAAAGTTTTCGAAATAAAATACTCTCGAAAGGAATGACTACCTCTCCATTTTGGGTCTAATCGAACCATATATGATCCGATTAGACCCACAATGATAAAAATTGGAACCATTTTTTATCTTTTTCTTCCATGTGGATCCTAACAGGCTCATTACGGGTTCGGCAGACCCACAATGGTTACTTCTGAATGATAATGGACGGAGTCCGACATATTCGGGACTAACCCTCCTCGAAAAATTCCTGGCGGGTTCCTGTATTTATATTTTAAAAATCTCTATAATAACTGTCAAGTATTTGGCATTTAAAATTTAAGAAATAAACAATATTTTCAAAGAGAAATATTAAGAATATTTCAAGTACGTTAATTAATTTAAAAGGAACAATGAGCTAATAAATTTAGTTAATTCTGACTTAAAAACGAAAATTCTGCTATTACATATTGTAAGTCTCTATCTAATGTAAGATAAAACAATTAAAATTTTAATTTAATATATAACGAATGCACTTTGGTGAATCAGTACTGATAAATATAGCAGTCGTTATAAGTTTTAAATTGTTAAGAACTATAACTTAATTAGGATTTTCCGGTGATATATGTAGAAATAAACAGTGAATTTCTGTTTCTGCATTACACGTGTTACAAATAATATGCAAAAATTAATATTTTATTAACTTATTAAGCGTTAAAATTTAATTCTACGTGAATAATTTTAGTACAGTCGACCACAAAAGTAAAATTACTACCATTATGTTAGGTTCCTCTCCATCGAAGCTAAAATAATGAAGAATAACCCAGGCCACATCAATCGAATATTAAAGTCAACATATAAATATATTTCGAGTAACTTTATTTACTTGTTTTCATGTTTTAGTCATGTTATCACATAAATAACACGTTCCAATTGTATGTAGCAATTAAATATGATTCGTGGACTTCGATTAAAATATTTCAATTTTCGCAGAAGTGAAGGAATATGAAATATTAGTTATAATGTTTTATAAACATTGCAAATTTAATAATTAAATAGTTTATTTTAAAATTCACTTATCCCATTAAAGAAAACTTGAAAAAAAAAATCCTAATCGTATACAGTTGCATATCGTTTAATGAATACAATGCAATTCATCTAGTAGCATAATTGATTAGAAGATTCTTTCATCTAGTTGATAGATAAATATAATACTTGAACTTAAAAATGTATTTGTATAAGCAGTAAGTAGAAAAAAGGTCCAGGTGAAAGAGAAAGACAGGTAAGTCCAAAAAAGTTTGTCATCATGCAATGAGGAAGTGGTTAGAGGCAGCGTTTTATCACAGTAGAAATTTTTTTTTAGTTACGAGATATTTAAGTATAATATTTATTTATTCTCTCTTAAATCTGTTATCATGATTCAGAAACGATCATACGTCCGTTAAACAACAGATTCTCTTAAAAGACACAAGTGTGACGTCAGAGATTTAAACCCAAGAAGGTATTCAAATGTTTGGAAAATTAAAGCTATAGTACAATTTAAACGCATAAACTTATTACTGCATCCATCATCTATCTGTAAAACATTATTAAACAGCATATTCAGATTAGCTAATGACTGCAATGAACAAATTAATAAATTTTTCCATACATTTGTATACAGTTAATCAGGGCTCCTGCCCCTAATGTTTCCATATCCGGTCTCGCCTTTCATCTATCTAACTCCATTCTAGAGATTAAGAAAAGACAGACAAACGGATGTGGAAATTTATACGTTTACAATTCTTTCAAATTGCAGACCCAAAAAACTTGTTTTGGTGATAAATTTTATAAAATATCTGTCAAATGTTATCCGAAATATAAATTATTTAAATTACGAAAGACAAATTTCTGAATTTATTACAGAATACACTAAAAATAAAGCGTGTTATATTAATTCAAAATTATGAAAGAATCCAGAATCTCGACAAAATGAAGCTGAAGGTACCACTGATACAAACGTGTGAAAGAACATTTGACTTTTAATCTCGGACCCGGTCCTTCACCGAATGGCCGTCCCATTGTAGGCCTGGCCGAATCCGTGACAGAGCAAATAAAAACAAAAAACAAAAAAGTCCATCCCACAAGGCGGAAACAGTAAAATAAGAAGAAGGGCCAGATTTCTATAGAAAATCCTCCCGAGATGCACACTCTTCTTGCCAGATTGCTCTTGTGTTGCGTTCTCTTATCCCATTAATTCTATATTATATATACTAGAAAAATAATTTTAAAAATCCAGCAACAAGTTGCTTAACTTTTCCAGATATTATATTTCAAAAAACTTTTTATATTTTTAATTATTATAAAATTGCAAAAAAAAAACTTAATTTTAAGGATAGGGATGGTTTTATAAAAAATTGTAAATGCTAATAACGAGTAAAATCGCCATTAAGTCCGACCCTACTGGAGATACACACGAACCTCATTATCTCCCTACTCCGTCGACTTTTAATCACCAAAATTTAATATCATTAAGCCTCCTAATACCCAAACCTCCCTGCAAAATTTCAGATATTTTCGATAAAAAGCACGGGATTTATTAAGCTTCAAAGAGGGTGAACAAAATTGTGCTCCTACACACACACTAACATCCATACACAGAAAAAAAAAAAACCCGAAATTTTTGCAGTTCACGTTTGAAGGTCCTTCGAGTAGAAAAATGTAAAATTCTGGGGGTTTATTTTTGACCTCTTTCATACTTTCCTCTGTTATGTCCCTCTTTCTTTCTAAAACCAAAACAAAGCATTCACTATATATTATCATATTTGTTGCTGTATGTTTATAGCGTAAAAAATATTTTCGTGATTTCGATGATCATACGATTTTAATAATTATTAAAAATCAAGAAAAAAATAGCTAATAAATCTTTAAAAAAAATAACAAACTAAAAACCTATATTCAGATATTACCATTTAACACAAGTGGTAAGAAGAAAGTAATTAATCCTTGTTATCAAGCCTGATTACTTTAAATTGATAACTAGAGATTAATAGGCAAATAAATTAATAAATATTAAATATATCATTTAATAAATTAATAATTTACTGGGAATAATAAACTAGAATAAATAATATAGCGATAATGATATGTTATCATTTTTCTCCGACAGAGGGCACTACGTAAGTTAATACAAGCGTGTTGATTTGGTTGACGTAGTATATACGTCAATTTGACGTCATTTTTGAGCTTATTCATTATAAAACTGAAAGGTGACGTCAAATTGACGTTAAAATGTACGCTTTCTGCGTGAAACGAATAGGGCTTAATGTTCCGAAACATAAACTTTTATCCTATCGGTTAAGATCCTATACATTTTTATTGTTTTAGGTGTATAAAAATATAACATTAACAAATAAAAACTAATATTGTAAATTCATTATACAGTAAACATAGCCTAAGTTTATACTGTTTTATTTTTAAATATTGCAAATTTTGCTCAAATTATTTTAATTTAATAATAAATATATGTTAAACTTGAAAATCTTATTTACAGTATTTATTTTCATTATCAGTGATGCAGGATCTTGTAATCTTCCAAAAAACAAGAAAGTCCCGGGCCACTTACTCTTTTCAGGCCCCAATATATTAAAACATCAAACATTAAAGAATTGTATTATTATATTTTAAATAATAAATTAAAAAAATAATACATAAATTGATTTTTATACAATAGATTTTCTCTTTTAACAGCTAAAAAATCGTCGTAAAGCGAGATTTTCCATAAGCCAAAGTGTCTTTACTTTGGTTAAGCGGGGAAAAAATCATGTAATGGCTGCCGAATTTAATTTTAAACCAGCAATTTCACCAATTTTCCAATTTAAAACTGTTTATACATAGACAATTCAAATTTTTTACGCTCGAGAATGTAAAACTCAAGAATCCTCATATTGGGTTTTACAATATGATAGCAATATGTTTATAAAGCAACAATTGAATATTATTTGAAAATATTATTTAACTATTATCAATTTATAAACGTTTTATATAGATAAAATTTTCCATTTTCATAAAAAGGGTACGTGGATTGAAAAAGATTTGAAATTGCTGTCGTAAGTCCGAGTGTCATAAATTCACATTATGATTCCATAAATACTACTCAAATAAGACGAACAAAATATACAGCATTTCATATAGTCATAATAGAAAATTTATACCAGTCATAAACTGGGCAGTCGTAAAAAGGGACATACTGTGC